AATATTTATTCACAACTATTGGAAGCCATGAGCTTCTGTTTTCTCTTTTACAAGATCTATACATGACGTGGCTGACAGAGGGATTACACAACCAGGATGTCTGTTAAACAGTGTCTTCATAACTCAACCCTCAGGGGCGTTTGTTCAGAGTTAAGGTATTTGGATGTTTTGGCTGTACTGACAGAACAGACAGTGCCACTCTCACACTTCTTATCCTCTCAATACTTTGACACTGATGTAAGGAGGTTAATAAAATAGTATTTCCTGAGCTCTGTGGAAGTGAAGATGCTCTTAAATTAAGTTATGAGGTCAATATTTAACACAGTTTCACACACAACATAATCAAAAATAGAGATGTATTAAAAATGTGAAAAAAACTTTATATAGAAACTTCAGCTTCTTTCAATTTGTGATACTGATGCTGGTAGCTATGTACTTTTTTATACAACACAGGATTCAGAGGCAAATCTCCCAGATCGTTGAATTTTCTTCTCTCACTCAAGTAAACAGCCATCTAAGCTTCATCTTTCAAAACCTCATACAAGTTGAGATTTGTCCCTCATAAAGTCCTACATGTTAAAAATGACATGAAACCTCTGTTTTTGTGAGCATTTTATGTAGTCACATTCATAGAGTGCAAAATGCAGACTGAAGTCTCTAACATTGACAGAAAGACAGCTGACTCATAAATGGGTCTAATGCAGCTGAAAAGCTCATGAGCAGTAGGGCTGTAGTCTCCTGGTCGACTAGTCGATTATTTGGTCGCTATGCTCTCCTCTAACCAAATTCTCAGATGAATAATCGCCGTGTTACATTCATAAGGATAAAAGTGCTACATCAATAGCTTTCCAGGATTAATCCATTATTTCCTGTGGCGGGGGGGACAGGCTAAGTTACCTGTGAAAATGGGGGTGTTTTCAAAACACCCTCGTTGTTGACAGAAAGTTGAACTCGCCCACCACACTCAGTGTGACGGTGACGCAGACCTCCTGTCTGTTTCTGTATACTGACACCATTTCCCTCAGTGGAAATGAAGCTTGTATTTACTTGTATTTCACAGACACAATTTCAAGAAACAATAAATTGTGAAGACAGTAAAGCCTCCACTAAAATAGCATATTAAGTCATGTGTGTGATTTATCCTTCAGGGATTTATACTTCAGGATTTAAAATGTGAAATGTGTCCAAATAAAGACAAGTGTTTGTCTGTGAATGCTGCCATTGATAGTGAAGCCAGTCTGCGTACTTGTGTTTGAAATTGTCTCTATTAAGCCATGTTTAATGTGTGTTTAATGTGTGTTTTGAATCAACTATATAAAAAAAGTTTGATTTGAACTAAACTTTACAGCACTTAACACAGTCCTCCACCGCCAACTAGTGTTTTGGAGGTGTAACTGCAGAGTGACACAGACACACCACGACTTATCGATTAGTTGAAGATTATGTGCGACTTTAGTTGACCAAGATTTTCCTTGGTTGACTACAACCCTAATCGGCAGGTCAGTGTTATATAGGTCTGGTGTATGAAATGTTTTTATTGGTGAATGATGAGTAACCAGGGTTTTGATAAATCTTTACCTCAAAGGACATTTTTTAAAGAATCTCTTGTTTTAGGGACCTAAAACTCCTTTTGCGTGTGGATGAGAGGCCCAAATAGAGGAAAATATAAATTTACAAAAATATCTTTGTGTATAGATAGGGCCTTAATTTCAGTTTTTATTTTATTCTTAAATTAAAATGTGTCTGACAGTCCACATTAACATGAATCCAACATGTTGCTGGCAAAGACAGTATCACCTATTCATAAAACCCATTTAATTTACAATACACAACATTAATGAGCTAGCTAAGGCTAAATCATTGTGCAGCACTTATTTTTCTTTCTTCGCTGTGCGGCATGTATCCATAACAGTGAGGTGAACTAACTGACCGACTTTTACATTCTGTTGAAACACATTTGCCAGTTAGCTATATCATTATTCATCCATATTCTTGGAAGCCCAGAGGAGAGATTCACACGAGCATGGCTTTTCGGAAGAACGGCGTTATGTAACGCAACTTGACCCTATATCGATTTAAAAGGCAATGTCTGAATCTATATCTTGTTTGAAAATATATTGATATATTCTACTTAGTCATTAGACCATAGGAATAACATATGAATTTTAAAATGGGCATAGTTCCTTTTAAGTATAGAACTGCCACTGGCCTGTTGACTCATGCCTATCCTCTCGTTCCAAGTTAAACTGAATCATCTTGATTCAACAGCCCTGAGGGATTTGTTCAAGAGAGTTGTCTTTTCCCCCGTTAATGCTCAGTATGATAATGCCAGTGAGCTAATGATTGATACTGTATTGACTCGTGTTGATTATGACCCGATGATGTTTAAACATTAAGGAAACGGGCTGTGTTGAATAAAAAGTTGCACCACTAGCAGCCATTTTCTTACCGTATATATCATATATCTTGTGCAAGACTAGTTTTGTTGTTGCTGCTTCCAGGCAGTGTTAATTTCATTGATGAAAACTATGACAAAAAAAATTCCGTGAACAACCTTTTTTCCATGATGAAAACAAGACGATGTCAAGCTAAAACAGATCTTGATAATAAAAACTAAGATGAAATATATGTTTAATTTTTGTTGATGAGACATGATGAAAATGTTCACGCTCGTTGCAGCATCAGCCGTTTGTGTGAGTTAGAACTTTAACTCAGCAGTTTAGAAGCAGCCTTGTGTGTCTGACTGTGGATTTGTTGTTTGTTTGTAAGTTGCAGTGCTTGCTGTTAGCAGCTCTGCTTGTTAGCCATGAACAGTCTAAACTACTACTCGACTATTTCCTCGCTATCCGCACTCATTCTTGCTACTCACTCCATGCTGTGTTGTGTTCAGTGTTGCCAGATCTTGGGAGAGAAACAAGCAACCAGGACCACAGACAAAATTACTTTACAAATACATTATATTTACTGCCTTTGAACTCTACCAAACCAACTAGCCAATCAAAACGTGGAAAGAATAAATGAATGAATGAGAATGAAAGTAAAGAAGTTGCAACATATTGTAGCGGTTGCTGGCCTAATACCGGTGTGCCAGTCAGAGGGTCATTCTGACAAAGAAAATATGATCTCTAATTGAACACCAGCAACCCTACGAAGAAGTTGGCAGAGTCTCCAACTCCCTCACCAAACAATTGTACACCAGAAAAATGAGCAGCAAGCCACAAAACACACAACACAACACAATTCAGCTTCCCCGCAGTGTATTATACAAAAGCCCAAGTGCAAACAACAACCAACAGCAATGCAAACAATAATAACAACCTGCACAGTTCAAACCCAGAGTCACTCTCTCAGTCTTTTTACCCCTACCCCAGTCAGTCAATATTTATTCAAAAAGAGTCTCTCCAAAAGTGTCACGAGTGAGACCTCCTACTCGTCAGGGCATCTTTGCACATGAAAGCCAGACCGGCGTTATCTCCCCTTCAGACAGCGCTCCGATGCAGAGGAGACGGCAGCAGGCTCCTGGGAATTGTCGTCCAAGGCGTTGAAACGGCGGTTTATGGGTGGAACGGCGGGATGGAAGGGTGAATCCGGATGGGGTGAACAGGCGGACTAAAGAAATGGCGGACTTTACATGCTGCCAGGGATTGACAGACTGAAATGCGGACACTGGGACGGTCTGAGCCTCCTCCTCGTTGAGTCACCCAGTGAGTTCGCGCCATGTTTTAAGCAGCCATCCATCCCATTGGGTGTGCGTGTGTGACGCAGGAGAATTACTCACGTATTACTCACGAATTACTCACGTGCGTCCCTGGTGAAAATCGCTGACATGCATGGGAAATACGGCTTCTACAGGCTCGCCATAGCTTACTATCAGGACTCAGGGACCAGAATTCGGGATGGCGGACTGTCGGAATGGCATTATTTCGGTGTGGCGGCCTGTAACAGTTGGTTAAATGGCCCGTTCGGTTGGTATTTGGATAACTGGGGCTTTACTGGTATAATGCAATAGCACCACCCAACGGTGAAACTCGTGTACACGTGTACACAAAAAAAATGACCCACTCTAAATGTTTAGAGATTTATGTACACAAACTCACCCCTATGGAAAACAGAACAGAAGTACAGAGAGTTGTTGACTAGAGATGATATACCGTCTCATCTAGTTGCATTGGTTTGAACTGGGAGGTTTGTAGAACGTTGCAGAGTGGCGCATCACAAGAAGTTGCCTGTTTCTGCTCGCCTCGTCATGGATCTTTGGTTTGAACTGGGCATTAATCTATGAAGAAAGGGATGTCTCTGAGGCAGCTTTGCACACAGATACTCAATGTGGGCACTCCATTGCAATTTATTGTCTATTTGTATGCCCAAGTATTTATAGGAGCACACCTGCACAACTCACTTTGACCAGTGGTTACGTCATCCTGGACTCTCCCTTCCCTGGGGTCAAATATCATTTGAGTACCATTTTCTAATTTGTAACTGTTTGAAGAACATTCTGGTTTTTCTTCAAGTCAGAGCCAATAAATTAAACATCAATTACAATAATTAAACATTATCTTGAGATCAAAGAAAAAGGCATTGCAGGTGTTGGAGTCAAAACAACCAGAGAAGGTATATAAACTGTAGGTTTCCCTCTCAAAGACACCCTGCTACCTGCTACTGCTGCAAGTGCAACCTCACCTGATCATCACAACAAGGTCAGGCTCTCATTCCTGCCTGTCATCACTGCATCAGCTGTTTTCATTCATATCTACAGAAAAGACTTTTTATCTTTTCATTATTACATTTAATTTTCACTTTAATGGAAAATCCCCTTTTTTTTACAGTTTATTGTTCCTGTAAAATGTGCTCACTTTCTTTTTCCATATCACTAAAAAATAAAAAATGCTGTAAAAAATAATATTTAAAAAGTTAATTTTTGTAATTTAAGTTAACAGTTACACAATTAATATACTGATCTATGGTGCATAGTTTCATTAATATACTGTGTCTTTCCACAGATGGCATCAAGTCTTCATTTGATTGCGGTCCTCTGTTTGACCAGTGGACTGTGGATTGGAAATGTAAGTAATATACATTCATTTCAGAAAGATGTTTGTGTTATAACACCTGATCTTTAAACACTAGTAGCGTGTCTCTGAGCCCAGCATCATGATTTCAACATATCTGTCATTTCCATACTTTGTTTTCACACTAACTACCAGTGTGATGAAATGTAGTGAGTAAGGTAATGGATACTGAGCAATAACATACACAATAAAGCTCAAGTCTTAGTTAGAAAAAGAGACAAGTTCCAGTTGAGTTCAGTGCTAATGATCTTTTCTTTACGTTCACAGGCGCAGTGTCAAGGTTGGTACTTCTCAAAGTTGTATGGTTATAATACAGCAGCTGGCACTTTGTGACTGCTGTTCAAACTATTATAAGTTTTCAAATGTTTTTCTTCTAAGATTGCTGCTTTCCTGAGCAGACAAATACAGCTTTATTGATTTATAATATCTATAAACTTCCACTGTCTTCAAGCACCTATTCACTTAAAAGGATAGGTTCACAGGTTCTGTCTTAAAAAAATAGTCATGTGCCCAATTAACACTTCAACAGGTTTTACTTTCTGTAATCATTCTTCCTTTTCATAGCGGCCATTAACAGATCCCTTCTTACTGCACTTTGAGTGTCGGTGATGGGGAACAAAATCCACCGTCCTCCCTCTGTGCAAAGATTTGTTCAAAAGTTTATCCAAAGCTAATTTGAGGCTTCAGCAGTCTGAGACAGGCAACTCAAGTGGGTATCTTCTTAAAGGATAAGTTTGGTATTTTCAACCTGCACTCTGTCTCCCTGTGTAAATTGGACTGATGTGAACATAATGTTTTGTTGGTCCAGTATTGAGCAAGCGGGCAGCAGCTGGCAGCTGCAGGATGGGCTGCAATGGAATCAAACGGGGCAATTAAACACTGTCACACTATGACCATTAAAAGTGGTTATATCTCATCTGAAGTGTCTTTTTACCTTTCACTTGATCCGGTCTGTTTGTTGTTGCCTCATTGAGCAGACATCTTGTTCTGAAATATCATGAGATGTCTCTTGTTGTTGTTGTCCAACAACAGTGGAAACATGATTGAGATTTAAAGAGAATATAATAACCATAGTAGTTTACAGAAAATGTATTCCAGTGTTATCTGAAAGATTTTCAGTATCATGGATCAAATATTATTTATGTGATTTTAACAATGTGGATGAGGACTTTTTGATTGAATTGAATCAGTCTTTTTTCACCAAGTCACATGGGGAAATAGGGTCCAAGTTGAAATATGCCAAAGTTATCCTATAAGTGAAAGTCTTTTTTAGGACAAAACTCCCTCCCTGTATTATTGTTCCTCTACTGCAGCTCAACAGGAAAACACACAGAGGGAACTTTTAACTTTGGAAGATAACCAGATCAAGTGGTTAACTGTTCTTCCACTTATTCGCAGCAGATACCTCTTCTCCTGGGCCGACGGCACTAACTCCTCTTTGACTAAAGTGATAAAAAGACACTTTGCCATTTTTGTGTTTTTGTACTCACCTTAACCTAGATGCTGCTGCGGTTTATTGATACTTTACATGGACAGTTAAGACATCCTTGAAGATATTTTTGAATATTTAAAGTCTATTTTAATACAGTGTTCACATGCTATATGCATACTGGAAAAGTTAGTCATCACTCGTCCATACTGGCTAGTGAACCTTTCCTATTTTGACCTTACTGTAAAAATGGGTTAAGCTAAAAAAAAATTTGAGGCTTCAGCGATGTCAGTTCGCCACATCTTCGTCCTGTCAGTCACCGGAATAAATCTAAACCTATCCTTTAACATTTGAAAATGGTCACAAGCAAACATGAAGAATATTTTTCTTCTGTCACACTTGTATCATACCGGCCAGAATAATCAGTCTTTGTGTTACTGTTGTTCTAATCATCTACAACTGTGTTTCAGACTGCTGTGACCCCTGTAAGACCTGCCCTTCTGGTTGGACCCAGTATAAAGATAACTGTTACATGTACCACCATGCTCCAAAGGACTGGGCTGATGCAGAGGTACTTTATGGAATAATATGAGTTACAACTGCCAAACTGTGTTCATTACATATGATTTAAAAGGGACCCATTATGCTTGTTTTTAGGTTCATACTTCTCTTTAAGGTTTCTACTACAACATGTTCACATGCCTTAATAGTCAAAAAACACCTTATCTTCTTCATACTGTCTGTGCTGGGACCTGTGTTCACCAGGCCCCCAGGAACAGCAGCGGCGCTTGAAGCCAATTTTATATAGTGGCCAAACCTGGAATTACAACGTCTGGGTCTGTGACGTGGTGAAATATCACCAGCAAAAGCTTCTAATCAAGACCGGATTTGTTCCAACAGGAACATGAAATTTATAACATTGGCAACCAAGTTTAAAAATTTCCGTGAAGGTAGCATGTAGCTTCATTTAGTGATGTAGGGTAGCTGACACACTATGACATCATATTCGAGACAGAGTAGAATAAACAGCTGGAAACAGTATTCAGAACGATCTGGGGCCTGAGGTTTCAGCTCACTGGGATTACTTTTACATACGTTTACCTCTTTATTTGACACGTTGACCATGTTTATAATGAACATCCTTCATTGTAACACTACATATATATATATATATATATATATACACACAGTACAGGCCAAAAGTTTGGACACACCTTCTCATTCAATGCGTTTTCTTTATTTTCATGACTATTTACATTGTAGATTCTCACTGAAGGCATCAAAACTATGAATGAACACATGTGGAGTTATGTACTTAACAAAAAAAGGTGAAATAACTGAAAACATGTTTTATATTCTAGTTTCTTCAAAATAGCCACCCTTTGCTCTGATTACTGCTTTGCACACTCTTGGCATTCTCTCCATGAGCTTCAAGAGGTAGTCACCTGAAATGGTTT